CATTAAAAGTATTAAGCAGCATTTCTCTATATTATCAAATCGGCATGAACAACTTCTGAAGGATCATGTGACACTGAAGACTAGGGATGCACCGAATGTTAGGCAACCAAAATTATTTGAATAAGCGAAAAGGCCGAATAAATTCATGTCATGCATGACGCGATCAAATAGAGGCGTGCACTAATGCAGCAAACACGTCGGCAGAGTGGAAGCATTTAAAACTGTCCGAGAAAGACACAAAAATAATTTCAAGCACCGACAGCAAGAGACTGTTTTGCTCTGCATCGTATGTCCTCGTTGCTGGTTACTGTATGAGTATTGAAATCGCAAAATGGCCTTAAACAATTAATAAACTGCAGAATGTTATGTTTTCTAATACACGCACAAATTCGCACGAACTCGTTAGCCAGGGTTAAATAAACAATGCATGAGGAAAATCTGCGCTGAAACAGTGTTACTTGTTAATTGCTCAGTAACATTTTAATGAATTTTTACAAGGCATGTAACAATGCGATACATGTGACAAACATCTTCCCAAATTTGTATTGAGAATCATTTATAAATCTGCTGTTGTCAACAAAAAGGTGCACTGAGGTCTTCCGGTGGGTTTCCGTCAAAATAAAAGCTGAGAAAAAGCAAGAAGTCCATCAACATTAATAAATGTTAGTATTGTAATTTTACTATTCTGTAAAATAAAATAAGAAAATAAAACAATAATAATGATAATAGTACTTATAACAGCTCTATTAACACATTTATTATAACATTCACAAAGTGTTCAAATTGGGATCTGTAATATTTTCCAATGTTTTTAAAAGAAGTCTCTTCTGCTCAGCAGTGCTACTTTTATTTGTACAGTAAAAATACATGCCTTATTCAAGAAGGGGGTCTCAGAAATGGCTTAAGAAACTTAATTTTAAGTTAAATTGTGCTTTGTTGGTATAATGTTTGCTAGAATGTTAAAAAATGTTCAGTGTTAAGTAAATATTTTTAAATTGTTGTTTTGTAATGTAAATTTTTTATTTATTTTATGCAGTGGTGAAAAAATTGGCATAATACATGGGGGGAATACGCAAAACAAAATGTGTTTGGTATTTGGCCTTCGGCCCAGTGTTTCGTTTTGTTCGGTTTCGGCTTCAGTCAAGAAGTTTCATTTCGGGTGCATCCCTACTGAAAATTGGAGTAACGACTACTACAAATTCAGCTTTGCCGTCACAGGAATAAATAATATTTTAAAATATATTAAACCAGAAAACAGTTCTATAAATTGTGATAATATTTCACAACATTACTGATTTTACTCTATTTTAAATAAACACATCCTTAATGAGCATAAGATATATTAAAAAATGTAAAAAAAAATAAAATAATAAATTTAAATAAAAAACCCTAGACTTTTGAAATGTAGCATATAATTACAAATTAATTTCAATCCACTATATTTTGCTACATTTAAACTAAGTTTAGTATGCATTTAATTTGATTAAATAATTATTTAATACATTTAACAACAAAGTTTGTGTATATACAATATTCAAATGTTTGGACATTAGACTTTAAATTGAAGTTAAATGATACCAAACAGTGTGGATCCAGTGCATAACATGAGATGAGATGAGGTGAGATTTTCAGATTCTCAGATGGGATGATGCTGGGAAGACGGATGAACATTGCTTATTGTCATGTTGTACTTAAAAAACACTATCACAGTGTTTGCAGTAAATGTAATCTTTATTATAGAGAAACGCTCCAACTCTGCTCGCTTTATTAGGCAGTTCTTGGCCAGAACCGGCTGCAGTGTGGACCAGACTTTATGCCATTTAGTCAAAGGTCTGGCTACATGTGACTAGATGACGTATGGAGCGGCATGTGTGGGAGTTGCATTGAATGATGCAGCAGTTGTATGGTGGACCATCTCCAAGTCCTCGACAGCACACATTGATCACACTGTCCCTGCATGCTGACACTCCAGACACCCACTTTCATCTCCATTAAGTGCACCACATCACACTGGTCAGCAAGGAGACACCCCCACACTCGCTCACTTCAAATTTTGTTAGGACTTCATCACTGTTAAAAGCTGCCCTGAGGCTGCTGAAGACACAGGCAAGTGTTTAAATTGCTGTAGCTGGTGGACAGTTACAGATCTGAGTCATATGGAGTGACACTTTGACATTCCGTCTGAACAGTTAGCATTGCACAGATGCCACTGAGATTTAGTGTTTCCGCAAATTCCATTTGGAATGCGTTGGGATTCCATTCTGTTGGAACCATGCCCTCCTTGATAAGCAGCTCAATTCGGTTTGTGAGCCCAACAACCCATTAAAGCTGCGATGACATAAGTAAAAATTATCCAACCCCCCCAAAAAAGAATGAGAAGTTTTAACAGCAAATCCAAGTCATTGTTGCTTTTGCATGCTTGCTGACACAGATAGTCGTAACTCTCCAGGCAATCAGGCAGATGACGTCTACAAGAGCAGTGTGAAGCATTTAGATGTGTTTTAGCTCTTCCTCCCTCAAAGATATAAATGCATTAAAGGAAGACATTCAGTGCAGTTTTTTGTGAGCACTGAAGAGTTGCATAAGGAGTACAAATCTTCTTTTAGAATAAATTGTCTACATTAAATCTGTACAGATCTTCTTTATGCACCAAGAGCTTGTAACACTCCAAAGAGAAAGGAAAAATTGAAATCGCATCATATGACCCCTTTAATGTTAAATGAAACTAACGTTTTGCCATCATTTATTCACTTTCATGTCATTTCAAACCTGTAAGATTTTATTGCTTTTGTAAAACACAAAAGGAGATGTTTAGCAGAGTCCAAGCGGCTCTTTTCCATGCAGTCAAAGTGAATGTGGACGAGCTGTCAAGCCCCAAAATGAATTACCATATAAGTAGTCTACATAACTTGCACACTCTATTCCGTATGATAGCTTTCTGTGTGGAGCAGACTAAAAGATAGACCTGAATATAAATCTTGCTTTATTACCTTAGACACCATTTATTATCATTGAGTATAAAAGAGAAGCAGGTCATGTCTTTCGTGTTCATAAAGAAAAACATTAAGGAGACTAAATGATGATAGAATTTTTATTTTTGCATGCACTGTCCCTTTAAGAAAGAACATGTGTGTTTAATCTATCAAAATCATTTGTTTTTCATTTTTATCAAAATATATCTCACTCTAACTCTCAAACTGTCACCGTTCTTTTTTTAGCAGATGTCATCAGTGACTGACTTTTCCTAATCACTGTACTTATTAAACTATTTAACTATTAAAACCAGTCTAGATCATTTAAGCTTTTAAGGGATAGTTCACCCAAAAATGAAAATTATGTAATTAATTGATCACCCTCATGTCGTTTCAAACCCGCAAGACCTTCGTTCATCTTCGGAACACAAATTAAGTTATTTTGATGGAATCTGAGAGCTCTCTGACCCTCTCATAGACAGCAATGATATTACCACGATCAACGCACAGAAATGTAGCAAGGACATCGGTAAAATAGTTCATGTGACATCAGGGGTTCAACCACAATTTTACGAAGCTACGAGAATACTTTTTGTGCGCAAGAAAGTATTAATTAATGACAGAATTTTCATTTTTGGGTGAACTAACCCTTTAAGTTTGATGGCTAATCGATTAATCAAAAATGCACCGTGCCTGATGAAGACCTGATGGTCGAAACGTTGCAATAAAATTTTTTTTTACGGAGCAGTTATATCAGTGTGCAGACATTACTTTTGCATTTTAAACGATTAATCAACCATTGTGACCATTCCCTAGTAGGGCCCTATGTTTTCTGCGAGGCGGAAAACGCAAACAGAATCCCAGAATACAGTCATAAAAATGAAATTTGTGTATAAGGCGGAATGTCACGGATATGGACTAGTGTCTGTGAATATTAAGCTGAAAAAATACAATTGAAATATGAATACTGCATGTTCTGCGTCTCTGTATGAATGAATGGCGCCAATGCACAGTTTCCGGTTTGGTTAATTAATTAGAGATGCTTTTGATTATTAAAATTTAATGAAACCGTTAAAATGGAATCCAGAAAATTAATGGAAAACAGCATTTGGTAAAAATAAACCTGAATTTGAGAAAAAAATAAAATGTATTACATTGGGCCTTAAAAATGTAATTTTTGTTAAACTTTTAATAAATTGCTGTTAAATTCTGCAAGTTTCATGATTTCAATTAATTAGTCATGCTTTTTAATTAATATATATATTTTTTAATTTAGCCATTAAAACAGAGTTTAAATGAGGGGGAAAAAACCTCTCTATCCCCCAAGAGCTCCTTGACCTGAAAAAGGAATAAAATTGTCTAAAGGAACAAAAGAAAGGTGTGTTAAGGGAAATAGAGACGGTTTATCAACAGACCATCAGCAGAAATATGTAACTGCTGGACTGATGGAATGACATCTTTCCCTATTGGGTTATTACACTACCTTATGCATTGCAGAGCAAGTGGCGTTGCTCCATGGGTTCATTGAGTTTGTCTGTGTGTATTTAACCGTGTCTGCTGCTCGCCGTTCAACATGTTGCCCGGACAGCTGGGTGATAAACATAATGCTATATATCCGACCCATATGTAGTATGAGCATATACAGCAGCCACAAGGGCTCTATAATCTGTCAGCCACACAGACAGGCAGATTGTTGATGCGAATAGACAGACAGAAAGAGAAAGCTGTCACTGTCAATTCATTTGGAGGTAGTGAAAATTTTTCCGCCCGTGTCCCGGTGCTGTCGTTTTGCCGTTTCCTCTGATCGTATGAAATTCAGACCTTCCAGCACTCCTGAGATTATGCTGTTTTCTTTTCATTTGATGTTTCTATTGTAGTGGAAAGTTGGAATCGGTACGCTTGACTGTCTAGGGATTCCTGTTTAATTTATTCTCTCAATCACGGAGCCCTTATCTTTTAGTAGCTGAGATTCAGTGTGTAATTCATCTCTCTGTCTCTCTCTGTGTCTCCCTCTTCAACCCCTCTAAGGGACGCTGTACACGTGATAACTGTAAGTACCTGCATCCTCCGCCTCATCTCAAGACCCAGCTGGAGATAAACGGCAGGAACAACCTGATCCAGCAGAAGACCGCAGCCGCCATGCTGGCCCAGCAGATGCAGTTCATGCTGCCTGGAGCTCAGCTGCAGCCCATAGTGAGATCCCATTTTAATAACCAACAACATCACGACCGTTTCTCTTGGCTTGAAAACTTTGCTTTATTATCCCTTGTTGTCTTTGTGTCTCTCATCCAGACCTCGTTCCCAGTAACGCCTTCCTTGGCCAACAGTCCGAGCATGGCTTTCAGCCCGTACCTGAGCCACATGAGCCCGGGCATCAGTCTCATGCCCGAGCTTCTGCACAGCGCCCCCGTGCTGGTCCCGGGGAGCCCCACCGGCATCGCCATGGGCAACGGAAATTCAATGCAGAAGCATGTTCGCACAGACAAGCTTGAGGTGTTAAACACAGTGAACAACTTGCTCTGTCTCTAGTAATATCTTGCTAAACATGTATTCGGCATGTAACTCATTCTAAACCATTTGTGCTACAGACTTAAAAACACGTCAAATTGTGTGCGGTCACTTTTCTAAAGGTTGGAATACACTACACGACTTTTAGGAACAGATTTTTAAACACTAGGCGTCACATACATGTGCATAGTGTTTATAGAGAAAAACTACACATCGTACACTAAACAACTGAGGATCACAGACTACCAGTCTTTTCAAGTTATTCAAAATGCAACAAACTCGTGCAGAAATGTGCCTCATTGCTTAAAGGGGTCATGAACTGCCGTTTTATTATTTTCTACTGTTCTCTAAGGCCAACTTATAATGTTATCAAGATTTTTACATTAAAAACATCATAATTTAGAAGTAATGGGCTATCATCTGTCCTGTTTTGACCCCCCTCATCAGAACTCAGTTTGAAAAGGCGTGGCAGAATGTAGATTGTTACTCGGAAGTAAACGCACACTGCCATGATTGGCTGACAGTTGTATATGTTATATACAGCCTACAGCCTTCCTAGAAAACACTTAAATTCTCAGTACATATCAAATGATCTCTTTAACAGACAAAGCAATAGTGATCATGTAATGAAAACAGTTACTCACACTCATGATCCAATATAGCTGGCACAGCATCTCCTTTTAGTTTCAATCTTTCTGAAAATCCTGCGTCGAATTGTGCTTTGTTTGTAAATGAATCCGCGGTAAAATGAAGTGAACCAAAGACAAAACAAAAGAGTTCTAACTGACGTGGGCTGGATCTTCATTAAAAATAAAGTTCATCAAATAAAGTTTATCGTTTGGTTTCTGCGTAGACCTACATTTGGCACTCTTGTCATTTACCTATTATGTGCACAAATGAGTGGGCGGGGCTAAACAGGCAGTGATGTAGAATCAGGCATTGATCTTCTTTGAGGCGGTGTTTAGCCACACTGTTACAACATAAAGTGGCATATTCCAAAACGCGTTGTTTTGGCAGATTGGCTTCGGAATAAGCTGTTTTTAGACTAACAAGAAAGTTTGAGTTCTAAAACGTACAGAATATTTTTATAGCACAATGACCTCTTATATATCAAAAGATCAAGGGAATTTTGATTTCGAAGTTCATGACCCCTTTTAAGTCACATAACAAATGAAATCAGTATCTGTTCTTAAATCAGCTCATAATATCAAACATGCTTGATATCCTCAGACTGTATGGAATCATTGTCTGAAGCTAAAAGAAATCTGTGCCCGTCGTGCACGATGCAATTTTGTGTGAAATCTGTCATCTGACTGCCCAAAATCTGCAGTCCGGGGACTGACTTTTGGCATCTATCGCTGACTCGTCCAGACTGCCAATCAGGGCAAAAATCTGTGTGAAAGTCATGAAGTGTATTCCGGCTTTTAGTCATCAGACTTCAGACCCATAGTTAGACCATGTTTGGCGATAAAACAAGCGCAAATGGTGAACCAATCCGGTAACACTTTACAATAACAGTACATTGATAATCCTATACCTAAATAAAATATTATTTTAATATAAACTGTTGATGAGTTGAACTAATCTTGATGAACTAATCTTAACTACAACATGAGTCATATGAATTCATGTGTGAAGTCTTATCCGAATACTTTAACAAATATGAACTAACATATAGTCAAGGTGGTCATTATTCACACATGAATTCATATGACTCATGTCATAGTAAAGATTAGTTTTTTATATTTAATTTAGATATTAGTATTATGATTATTCATATACTGTTATTGTAAAGTGTTACCAAAAATACTATAGACTTGCATTGAATGAGTCAAAAATATAGGCCAGAATATGATGTAGACTTGGGGCTGGGCGTATTTTGACCTGGGCCAATGAGCAAACACCTAACAAACACCCTAGCAACTACAAAGCAGCATGCTAAAAGAATATATAACCCTAATAGAAACATCCTGGCAACCATTCATTCAACATAGAATTGGGCAAGGGTCACACTTCTTTTACCAAATGTAAAAATCTAGTTTATAATGCTATTGTGTCATGATAAGAATTGAAATGACTGTCACTAAGTGTGATTTTCAGCGTGACTAATGGGTGGTAGTGAATCTCTGCTGTCCTGCTCTCAGGTGTGTCGAGAATTCCAGCGGGGGAACTGCACACGCGGGGAGAACGACTGCCGCTATGCCCACCCAATGGAAGCCGCCATGGTGGACGGCAGCGAGAACTCCGTCATTGTTTGCATGGATTACATCAAGGGCCGATGCACCCGTGACAAATGCAAGTACTTTCACCCTCCGGCTCACTTACAGGCCCGGATAAAGGCGGCGCAGCACCAAGCCAGCCAGAATGCTGCTGCCATGGTGAGTTACTGAGACGATCCCATTACAATGACATCACAAGCACTAATTCCCATGATTATAACAAACACACATCACAGTATAGAAGATGATGCCTTCAGTAAAGACAATATGGCAACAATATGGATGAGTTGTCATATTGATAATTAAGCTACATATTAATTTGTGAAAAATGCTTTATTTTATTCATCCATCTAAAATAAAATTATTTACAAATATAATATATCAAAGTCATTGCTATTAATTGAATTTGTTACACATTTAAATAACTTCTGACCGTTTAATCAACAGCAGCTTGTTGTGGCATAAATCAAACTTAATCGAAACATGACTTGCAAACTCAAGGCACTTTGTTTTAACATTAAAGGGTTAGTTCACCCAAAAATGAAAATTCTGTCATTAATTACTCACCCTCGTGTTGTTCCAAACCCGTAAGACCTTCGTTCATCTTCGGAACACAATTTAAGAAAACAAAAATAACGACTTTATTCCACATTTTCTTCTCTATTGTGTCACTTGTGGACGCGCGTTCACAACAGTATCTAGGCCAGAATATGATGTAGACTTGGGGCTGGGCGTATTTTGACCTGGGCCAATGAGCAAACACCTAACAAACACCCTAGCAACTACAAAGCAGCATGCTAAAAGAATATATAACCCTAATAGAAACATCCTGGCAACCATTCATTCAACATAGAATTGGGCAAGGGTCACACTTCTTTTACCAAATGTAAAAATCTAGTTTATAATGCTATTGTGTCATGATAAGAATTGAAATGACTGTCACAAAGCGTGCTTTTTAACGTGACTAATGGGTGATAGTAAATCTCTGTTGTCCTGCTCCCAGGTGTGTCGAGAATTCCAGCGGGGAAACTGCACACGCGGGGAGAACGACTGCCGCTATGCCCACCCAATGGAAGCCGCCATGGTGGACGGCAGCGAGAACTCCGTCATTGTTTGCATGGATTACATCAAGGGCCGATGCACCCGTGACAAATGCAAGTACTTTCACCCTCCGGCTCACTTACAGGCCCGGATAAAGGCGGCGCAGCACCAAGCCAGCCAGAATGCTGCTGCCATGGTGAGTTACTGAGACGATCCCATTACAATGACATCACAAGCACTAATTCCCATGATTATAACAAACACACATCACAGTATAGAAGATGATGCCTTCAGTAAAGACAATATGGCAACAATATGGATGAGTTGTCATATTGATAATTAAGCTACATATTAATTTGTGAAAAATGCTTTATTTTATTCATCCATCTAAAATAAAATTATTTACAAATATAATATATCAAAGTCATTGCTATTAATTGAATTTGTTACACATTTAAATAACTTCTGACCGTTTAATCAACAGCAGCTTGTTGTGGCATAAATCAAACTTAATCGAAACATGACTTGCAAACTCAAGGCACTTTGTTTTAACATTAAAGGGTTAGTTCACCCAAAAATGAAAATTCTGTCATTAATTACTCACCCTCGTGTTGTTCCAAACCCGTAAGACCTTCGTTCATCTTCGGAACACAATTTAAGAAAACAAAAATAACGACTTTATTCCACATTTTCTTCTCTATTGTGTCACTTGTGGACGCGCGTTCACAACAGTATCATGACGCGAGCGTGTGGCGCCGCTGACCCAGATCCGGCGTGATGATGCGTTTTCTTAAATTGTGTTCCGAAGATGAACGAAGTTTTTTAATTAATAGTAATTAATGACAGAATTTTCATTTTTTAGGTGAACTAACCCTTTAAATAATGAATGTTAAAATTAATAACGAGTGAGTGAATCATTTATTTATTATTATTAAATTCATGATTACCATTCATTATTCAATTATATTTTATCACACCATTCAAAAGTTTGGGGTCGGTAAGTTTTTTTGTGTGTGTGTTTTTGAAAGAAGTCTGTGAAGCTCACCAAGGCTGCATTTATAGATCAAACAAAAATATAGTAAAATTATAAAAATAATATTACGAAATATTACAATTGAAAATAATTTAAATACATTTTACAATGTAATTGTGATGCAAAGCTGAATTTTCAGCTTCATTACTCCAGTCTTCAGTGTCACATGATCCTTCAGAAATCATTCTAATATACTGATTTGCAGCTTAAGAAACATGTATTATTATCATTCTTATTATCACACAGAAAACCATGATACTTTTTGGGGGGGATTTTTTGATGAATAGGAAGTTCAAAAGCATTTGTGTGAAATAGAAATCTTTTGTAACATTATGAATGTCTTTACAGTCACTTTTGACCTATTTATTGCATGAATGCTGAATAAAAGTATTAATTTCTTTAAAAAAAAAAAAACTTAACTGCCTCCGAAATTTTGAACGGTAGTGTATGCATCATTAGATTTCTTTGGATTTTATAAATTTTTATTTATTCCATTTTAACTTTTTACAGTTGCATCTGCTTATGCAGCTCATGATCAAAAACACTGACTTACATTGCTTGGGATGTTCACATTTGTTTTCAAACTCACAAGTCTCACAAACAAAGACCACAATGCATGGCGTTATGTAGTAAGCTACATCACCGCACCATTTCGGTGGAAATAGAGTTAAATCTTTTTTGTAATATGTGGCTAGTAATTCATTAAATTTCAGCCATTTTAGCATGTGGTTTTATCCAAGGCAACTTTCACTACACATATTACAGGAACAGTCCCACTGGAGTAACCTAAGTGACCAGCAGCCTTAGTTTTGGCCAGTATGCCGTTTTCAATAAGCTTTGCTAGTGTCAGATGAAGGTGTGTGTATTTATAACTCACTTTCCACACACCTTCAATGTGAGGTTCAGGAGTGTATTAAATAATTCAGATCCCCCGCAGGAGGGTGTGTGTGTGTGTGTGTGTGTGTGTGTGTGTGTGTGTGTGTGTGTGTGTCTGCGGGGGTGTGTGTGTGTGAGTGTGTGTGTGTGTGTGTGTGTGTGTGTGTGTGTGTGTCTGTCTGCAGGTGAGCTCTTTGTCTCCTGTGTGATGTTGATGTATGAAGACCTGGGCTCAGTGATGGGTTGCAAACAGTGCTTGCAGTGCAGGTGCAGGAGAGAAAAATGATAAGAAAGGAAAAAACAAGCAATTCATTCCCACGGAAACCTCCACTAGTTAGCAGCCTCCCCCCCGAGAGTGTACTGCAGACAGTTTCCCTTTCATAATGTGTCATTTTTATCCCAGTCTCCCAAGTCTTATCATGTAACATTTTTACAAAGGTTTATTTACAGTGCACAGATGTGGGGACCTTATCCAAAAATCCTCCTCTTCTTCCTGCAGTCACCTGGTCTGGCTGAGGCTTTATCATATGTTGGCTTTATTTGATTCCCTCTCGGTTCATGCTGTCATTCTTTTTGAACACTGCTTGATTGTCTTTACATCCTCACAGCTCTCTTTGTTGTCCTACAAGCTTATTACCCAGCTCTCTCTGTAACCACAGCTGCATCTGTTCCTTCACGGCTCATTCTCTTGTCTCGTGTTTATGTCTACTGTCGTTGATTGGTTTGCCATCGTCATGTGGTCACTGCTCGCTTACCCAGCCCTCAGAGCGTCCTCTGAAGCGCAGCCTGCAACCAACTTTCAATCTGGTACTTTAATCTTTCACCCATTTTTGTGTCTTTTTTCATTTTGTTTGCTGATTTGTTCATTTCTAATAGCTCAGTTTGTGTTTTGGATGAAAGACTTAATGCTGCAAGAAACCAGCCACAATCTCTGTGTAAACTAATCATTGTCTTAGAAGTTAAATGAAACTGAATACATTTGTAGTCTGGATTCTAGAAGTATATTTCTCAATACTTTTCTCCACAGGCACTTCAGAAAATTGAAAATGTAAAGTAAACCAACTAGCTCAGAGAGGAATCTCTATCATTTGATTAGATTTTGAAAATCCGAAAAATTACGCAAGAATGTATCTTTAATAGAGATGCAAAATAAGTTTATATGAGTACCATATTGCTTGTCATCCAATAATAGTTCTTTACATATTAATTAATATTGGATATTTAATTGTTCATGCTCATTTCTTCTATTTTTACATTTAGATTACCTTTTTCAAAATAAGCAAAAAAGCAAATCTCAAAATAAATATCCATTTTCTTTCTGTACATTATAATGTGGTGCAAATTCAGATTGTAGCATTTAAAATGATTGGGTTACACTTTATTTTAAGCTGTCCTTGTTACAGTGTAATTATACATTTTAAGTACTGAGTAATATTTATTAACTACATGTACTTACTATATGGTTAAGGTTTGGTTTAGGGTTACTTGCATGTAATTATGCATAATTAAGTGTTGTTATAATAGTAAGTACATGTAACGTGTAACAAGGACACCTTAAAATAAAGCGTTACCAGTGATTGATTTTAGTTTTTAATATTTATATAAAATTTATTTAGACAAAATTTTAACATCTGCGTTTTAGAGGTTAAACATGAAAATAGTTTTTATCTTATAAGCATTGGTCAGAAATTTTATATCATATCTTCTTTTTAATGAGGTATTAATGAATACTTGTTCCATTATGTACTGTTAAAGGGGTCATATGATGCTTTTTTAAAGATCATTATTTTGTGTATTTGGTGTAACAGAATATGTTGACATGCTTTAATGTTCAAAAAACACATTATTTTTCAAATACTGTACATTATTGTAGGTCCTCTATGCCCCGCCTCTCTCAAACGCTTCGTTTTCTACAAAGTCCCTCCTTCCGACAAGCGCAGTCTGCTCTGATTGGCCAGCTGACCCAGTGCATTGTGATTGGCCGAACACCGCAAGCACTCGTCGGAAATGTAACGCCCCTTACCATAATCGCGAGCTTCATCTTTCAAAATAAATGTAAAGACAGAGCCTGAAAGGGGAACAGAGTCGCGTGACAGACACAGTGATGAAGCTGGTATGTGTTTGCAGTACACAAGCCACGGTTAAGACAGCTGTCTCCACTGTGATGTGACCCTGTCTCTCTTTCTCTCTCTCTCTCTCTCTCGCTCGCGCGCGCGCGCGCGCACACGCACACGATGCGCAAAACTCCGCATTTGAACAGTCAATAGCAAATACTTAAACTAATAACAAAACATACTTACAGTAGCTGATTCAGAAGTGCCAGATTGTCATAGCAAAGTCAGAATTACCTCCTCTCCTAGGTTCACGAAACGGTCGTCCATAAAATGCATTGCTGTTCTGTTGTAAGTAATCTTAAAGATTCCTAAATGCATCTACTTTCGGAAGGCTAAATAAAGTGCTTTTGCTTTCGCCTAGAAACACACAGCGTCTCCTTGACATGGCTGCTTCAACACTAACTGCGGTTACTGACACCATGCCTTCTTTCTTTGCGTGCACATTTGCGGCGGGATTATGCAAATATTTCCACATAGTGGGGTAGATATGTGGGGGCGTGTTAGAATGAGCCGTTTTAGGGGGGCGTGGCAGAGTCTTAACTTTGATAAAGAATATCTATTTGGTTTTGAGACTTTAGTCTTTGCAACTTCAGGGATCTTATCTATGCACAATCAGCTTGTAACACTCCAAAGAGAAAGGAAAACTTGAAATCGCATCATATGACCCCTTTAAAGAATATTTTGTTTTAAAGAGATTTGTCATCATTTACTCACTTTCATGTCATTCCAAACTTGTATTTATTTCTTCTGAATGTTGGAAACCAAACCGTATTGGTGACCATTGACTTCCATTGTATGTACAAAAAACACTGAGACATTTCTCAAAAAATGCTCCACAGAAGAAAGAAAGTCATTCAGGTTTGGAATGACATAAGGGTGCGTGATTAATGAACTTTTTAATGTGTTTCCTTATTGGAAAACATAATTTTTGCTCTTACATTACAACATCTATTAATAACTAACCAGATAAGTAGCTGTGTAACAATAATATAGATTAAAAAAAATTTATTTTGTGGGGTTTGCAGTTTTCATTGCCATGGAAACAACAACAACTGATTGGTGAATCTCGCTACAGAATTGTGGGTAGTGCAATACCTCATCTGTAATTAATTCGGCAGTTAAGCAATTGTTTTCGGTGAAGTTTAAATCACCGGCTTATGCAATCTACAGAAACATATACCACCGTCTTAATAACCTTAGAGCTCATAGGTGGTCTTTCTTGAAAGGTTTATGCATTATTGTTTAATATCAGTCTCACTGTGGAGATTTGGATTGAGATTTTTACTTCAGGAACCCGACTGTTGAGCTGTATACAGTACAGCACATTATTATTGGGTTGTGGGATTGAGTTCATTCGTGTAAATCATGAGGTCGGACTGCTCCCCCATCATCCCTCGGTTAGTGAATCACAGATATCCTCTTTCCTGCTGACCTTGCTCTTATCATGTTGCATATCAGTCTTCAGACAGAATTACACAGTGGAAGACAGCCGTACATCCTCATTATGCCTTCATCTAGACTGAGCATTCTGTGTTTAATTATCAGAGGCCGGTAAAGACGCCTCACCTCAGTTTCTCTTTCTGATATCGCTCTTCCTCATGCAAGGCTGCATGCTTCTGATGCCCCTTTAGAAAAATGAAGAAGCACTCCCAGACATTTGTCAGAGAAGGAAGCACAGCATATACCATTAATTAAAAAATCTTCGCTTTGCATTAAAACTACAGAATACATTGTAGTTGATGAGCATACAAGTGATCAGCACTAGCTGTCACAAACCAGAAATCGTTCTAATATGCTGATTTGCTGCTCAAGGACATTTCTTGTTATCGTTTAAAACAATTACCACTAATATTTTTGTGGAAAGCATGTATTAGGATGGACATATAGAGATGTTTTCAGTGTGAATAAAAATGTTTTTCTCCAATAAACTTTGGCCACAATTATTAGCACCCCTTCATATTCCCATTCATTTAAAAAAAATTTTAGCACACCAGGATGACTACAAACATGATATTGTCCTGCCATGTCCGGCCAAATTCCCTTAATCATCCATTCCAATAAGTAAAGTCAAACAATATAGTTCTGATGTGCAGCAAAATATGTTTCAGCTTCACAAAATAGAAAGTGGCTGCAATAAAATTCCCATTACCACCATCATGGCAATAATTGAGAAGTTCCAATCAACAGGAAGTGTTACATATCTGCCTGGAAGAGGATGTGTGCCTATATTGTCCTAATGCACTGTGAGGAGGAGAGTTTGAGTGGCCAAAGACTCTCCAAGGATCACAGCTGGAGAACTGCAGAGATTAGTTGAGTCTTTAGGTCAAAAAGCCTAAAAAAAATATTAAAAAGCGCCGCCATCACCACAAGTTGTTTGGGAGGATTTCAAGAGAAATCTTCTGCTCTCATCAAAAACAAACTCCAGCATATTTAGCTGTGAGACACTGCTGGAACTTCAAAAAGGACCAGCTTCTATGGTTAGATGAATCTAAAAAAAAAAGCTTTTTGACACACATGATATACAATGTCCACGGTTAAATATACTGCTGAATGTTTAATGTTGTGTGCTTATTTTTCTACCAGAGGTCCTGGACATCTTGTTCAAATAAATGTCATCATCGATTCTATCAAATACCAATAGATAAAAAATCAAAACCTGACTGCTAGAAATCTTATAATGGATTCTGGTTAGATCATTCATCAGGACAAAGTAATGGTTCTGCCATGGCCACCAGTCCTCTGATCTGAACCCTATAGGAAATTAGTGGTGTGAACTGAAGAGGAGAGTGTACTAAGATGAACATTGAAAGATAAGAAGAGCTTTTGCATATAAGAACAGTCTCTGATCTATTGCCAGGTATTCTCCAAATTCCTCAGGGCATTATAGGCTATTACCTTGCTCTTATCTCAGCAAATGGAAGTTGCAAAAAGTATATTAAATAAAATGGGGCTAATGTGGCCAAGATGTACTGGTGAAAAACATTTATTTCATAATGAAAGCATGGCTGTGGGAACTAGGGGTGCTGAGGGTGCTGCAGCACCCCCCGCCGCAGGGCCGGGTCTGACATTTTCCTTGTGCCCCTCGATCATCCCCAAGATACTTAATTTTTGTGATAGTTTTGTGATGAATTATTTATTAAACTGACCAGAAATATAGCCTAGTGCCGTTGTATTTTACTTGCGCGCCCCCTCACACTGACAGAATTTCATGTGAAATGTTCACGCGATATTACCGTAATTTTACATTCCATCCAACTTGTAAAAACCATTCAAGTCCTCGTCCTTTTTATGAGCCATTTTCTCGCTTCTCAAGACGGCCCCCGGCAATCACATAAGCATAGCTCTTTAATTGCGCTCTAGTATCTGGTCAAACGCGCTCAAACCACTGTAGCCTAATGTAATCTTTTAACTATGCAAATCATAACATTTTAGGCAAGTAGGCTTCCATATTATGACAAAAATATTTAAATAAGACTGAATTTGTATTTAACCTGATCACGTTTAATAAAAAGACATTTTAAATTGAATTATAACGCCGCATATCCTCGATTATTCAAACAACGAACAAATTATACATCGAGCAAAGAACATTTACATTATCAAAGAATATCACTGAATTCAGTCTAGACGTGAGTGTAAGTACTCTAAAATAGCTATAAGTTATAATCAGTGATGTTGTCTGCAGTGTATGATGAATTAGTCTCTTATTTACATCGCATTTAGGCTACATCTGCACTTTGTTGTTTCTGAGAGAATTCGCCAAAGTGCACTGACCAAAACTTTTGCTTATCAGCATTGATAATATTTAGTAAAATTCTTGAACTAAAATCACAAAAGCTCAAATATATATTGGTTCGCATATAACTCTTTTCATTTGTATGTTAATTTTTGTTTTGAGTTTGGGCTGTTTAATATTAGGATTTTGTCAAAAATCCCCCACCATAGCCCCGCCCTGCAACATCAAGCCTCGCCCCCAGCACCCCCTAGTTAAAATATGTTCCCACTGCTATGAATGAAAGTTTCCCCCACTTTCAGTTGTTTTGCATCAATTAAAGGTTGGATTTTTCTGAGTGTTTTAAATGAACGATCAAAATAATAAACAAGGCAGATTTATTTTCACAACCTTCTTTGATAATATTTATTAAGGGGGTCAATAATTCTGACCATAACTGTATATATGATTATATATTGGTAGCAGTGTTGGGGAAAGTTACTTTTAAAAGTAATGCATTACAATATTGCGTTACTCCATAAAAAAGTAACTAATTGTGTTACTAAGTTACTCTTTATGGAAAGTAATGCATTGTTACTTTTGGGTTACTTTTTGTCACCTGGGCTGGGATTGAAAAAGTAATTTAGATATTTCATTGTAAATTTAAAAATAATGCGTTACTTTACAAGTTACTTGAAAAAAGTATCCTGATTATGTAACTCGTTTGACTTGTAAAGCCTTACCCCCAACACTGATTGGAAGTTTGTATATACTCGGTCCTGTTTAAAAGTTTGAACTTCACACATGCACACACACACATACACACATATGATGAAAAAATATAATTTATAAATTTTTCTGTTGCATCCTAAAAGAAGTAGTCAAGTATGTCTCCAATGTTTTGAAAATGTTTTATTATTTATTTATAAAACATGGTTTGCAACACTTACAATGACAAACACACAGTATGTCAGATTTATTGTCATGAATGGACATGAACACTCACAGTACAAAGTTTCCTGTAGCTCAGTATCATGGCTATCTTTAACGTCTCTTTCTGCCCACCATCTTTCTTTTTCTTTTTGTTTTTATCCTCTTTCTTCTTTGTCATCCCGATCACTTCAGGCTTTGCCACCAGGAGCCATGCAACAGCTACCAAAGAGACCGACCCTGGAGAAGACTAACGGCGCGGCTGCCGTCTTCAACCCCAGCATGTTCCACTACCAGCAGGCTTTGGCCAGCATGCAGCTGCAGCAGCCAGCGTTCATTCCCACAGGTGAGCTCACGTAGACATATGATTTCCCCTGAGCTGTGCTCTAATATCACTGTATTCCTGTAATAGTTTGGCTTGCATACATACAGCACTTTAAAGACAAAGTGCCCGGCTAAATGAGGACTTGAGCACTTTTTCTGCTTGCCATCTCTCTCCCTGTAAGCCCACTTGCTCTCTTTATCTCGTAGTAGTCCACCCTATGCACATGTCATGCTAATTAGTCCCATGATGCATACAGTCCCGCATCTCCTCATGCACCTGCACCTGAGCATTAGCTACTCTTTTTCTGATGCTGCACTGCACTATGTTCACTGTTCTCAAATAATCAGTAAAAAAGCTAGATTGTATTTTGCCTAAATGACTGTAGCAGCAACCCTTCGGCCTTATAAAGAGGCTCTGAGAGGATAGTTACAGTATGTTTGCCACCTAGCAGAGAGTTTTAAAAACCCAGTGAAATCAAAATAGGAGTTTTGTGGCTTTTAGTCCAAATCTAGAGCGCTGCAGTGATTGACATGTTTTTTCTGGGCCAACCCATAAGTTAGCATCACCCTGGTTCCCTTTACAAGAATCCAATAGGATTCATATTTGGTTTTGGAAAATTGCATATAATGAGCTCTGTGACCAACAATGATATATAACCCTTACACATTTTGTTCATCATGATAATCTTCAGAAATGAACACAACTTGTGAATTTTGAAGCATAAATACAATCACCAGAAGTAAAAGGCTAAATATAGGCTATAAATAAACTACACGCCAATATAAGCTTGAATAGCTAGCAAGAGAGTGATTATTAATGAAATATGAGGCTGTAAAGGCAGACTAGTGCGTAGATGAGTTTACCTGTTCAGTGTGATGATGCTTAATGTCCCAAACAACCTCTGTAGTCCTATTTAGCCACTTGTTAGCCACCTTTTTAAAGCCAAGTAAAAGCTTTAAAAAAGCACAAGTGACTTTATTCAACACATTTTGTCATAGAGTAAAACTTAAAAGATCTTCAGCTTGTGTTGATATTAAAGGGATCATATGATGCGATTTCAATTGGATTGCTGGATCGGCTTTCACCGTGGACGAAGCGGAGTCCAGCCCGGGGTCGTCACATGTGGTTGCCGCAAGCCTGCCGGCCGCGCCGTTCTCAAGCCCGCAAGCCGCCCGCCGTGTGTTTCGTTGTGAAAGCAAAGCTACTTTGTTTGGCCTTCCAAAAGAGGACACGCCTAGAAATCAGTGGTTAAGTTGTATTTACAACACCGTTCCAGAACAGTTCAACCCAAATATTCAGGTGTGTGCAGCCATTTTATTTTAAAAGCCATTCAATGCCGGCTGTTCTGACTCACAGACTGTAAATACGTTTTCACTTAAAGAATTTGCCACTGATGATTCAAACGCGAGTTTTGGGCAGTGTAGAGTAGCGCTTGTTGTTTGTCATTTCTCCGATCACAAATGCAGACATGGTTTTATGTTTACGCGGCGCGATGCAACGCAACGCGTAAAAAGACAGTATAAGTCATTATAATCCATAATTATGTCCCCACTGGATGCAACAAATGCCTCGTTTATAATGGGTTTTAATGTTTTTGTCTCGTCGCTCCGGCCGGGACAAGGCATCACAATATGGTAAGGGCCGTAACATTTCCGTCACATGCTTGAGGTATTCGGCCAATCACAATGCACTGGATAGCTGGCCAATCACAGCACACCTAGCTTTTCAGACCGATGAGCTTTGTAAAAATCGACGCGTTTCAGAAAGGCGGGGCATAGAGGAGAAGCAATAATGTACAGTATGTGGAAAATAATGTGTTTTTTGAACCTTAAACCGCATAGACACATTTCATTACACCAAATACACAAAATAATGTTCTTTTTAGCAGCATCATATGACCCCTTTAAACCTTATTTACCAACCTACTAAAAATGCTAACTAGTTTTCGGGTTGTGGTCTACAAAAATATGTAATCCCTGCCGCACTTGATTACTTTTGAGATTAGCTATATGCTAGTGCTTCATATGCTTTTAAAATGTACAGTCTTTATCTTCTGTGAAAATAAACCAAAAAAATAAAATAAAATTTTGTACTACACAGATTTTATTCCCAGTAAGATGCTCCCTAGATTGAAAATGTCCCTCTAATTCCACCTGCCGTTTACTAACATTACCGTGTAGCAAATAATGTTTCACAGCTGTGACGTAAACTACATTATATTGGCGGTATAAAAATACCCCACCCAAACATTTTGTTTCAGTAGCATCAACCATACATCAGCGCAGGAAAGAAAACTGCCATTTCATGAGGTCTTTATAGGCAACATGAAATCAAAACGGGCCCTTTTAACTTTTTTAATAAATGTTTTATGCTTGATTATGCAGTGCATGTTAGTTTAAAGCAAGAAAATAGTCTTCTCTGCTTGTAAAATTGCTTTTTTCTATTGACATAACAATGGCTGTATCATAGCCTAGCTAATATGCACCTTCCTGATTCAGTCAAATCCTGATGGATGAATTGAAGCTCAATCCTAGATTTGATCCCACTGAATTTTCTGTTTAACGCCAATGTAAGGCACATTTCGAAATGTAAATGTGCTGTGAATGCTGGTGCAAAAATCAAGCATTAGGCTTGACTTGTTAGCATTAGGCTAATCAGCTGATGAGACAAGAAAGCGTATCAGTACAACAACAGATTGGCAGCCAGGTTAACATCCCCCTCCTGATGAGGATCTTTCTACCAGCGTGATTCATTTCCTCTTGGTTTCCTGCTTTGTGTCCATGTCTCCATCTCGCCACCATGTCGCCCATAATGACGGTCATCGCTCTTTCGCTGTGTGTCACTAACTCTGAAGTTGTTTTGTCTTGTTCTCATGCTGGTTTCACTCCCCCTTCTCTGCATCTCTTCCACTCCTCCATCGTCCTCGGTCTCTCTTCTCCTGGGCTCTTTGTGCATGGTGATGCAGGCTCCGTATTCTGCATGGCTCCATCTGGAGGCATTGGTAGGTCACTTCCCAGTCTCTCTGAATGAGCGGTTTCCTTACAGCAGCATCTCAGATCTGTGACAGACAGGAGGGTGATCCACGATTAACTCCCAGCAGGCCCAGCAGTATATCATGGGGTGTTTCTTCTGCTGTGGGCACTTTTGTTTTGTTTTGTTTTGTTTTGTTTTGATGATTGGTTTGGTGTTGTTTTGTATTGGTTTGGTTTGTTTGGTTTGGTTTTTCTTTGGTTTGGTGTTTTGCTTTGTTTGGTTTGGTTTTTCTTTGGTTTGGTGTTTTGCTTTGTTTTGTTTGGTTTTTCTTTGGTTTGGTGTTTTGCTTTGTTTTGTTTGGGTTTTTTTTGGTTTGGTGTTTTGCTTTGTTTGGTTTTGTTTTTCTTTGGTTTGGTGTTTTGTTTTTTGTTAAAACTTACCATCCCTTCATTTTTGCTACTTTTCACATGTCTATTATATGTAGATTACATTGTTTTTTTGTTTTTTGTCCCAGACCCAGACATCCAATCCAAATAATACAATTTTATCATAACATGAAACAACATGAATTACAACATTTCACACGTATGGTTAATCTAAACAAAGAAATAATATTATAAACCTTTATAAACAGAATTGACCATAAACCATTTCCTTGAAATTCTTAATAATTGTGAAAATTACAAATCATTAATTCAAATCAATCGTATATATAATATAATTTTTAACACATAATGACTGCATTGTTTACAGATGCTAATCAAATAAATAAAAGTAGGAAAATTTAAATATCACTTTTGAACAAAATATTTTTATTCTGTGGCTCTTTCAGTCTAGCTGCTGTTTTTTGAAATGCTAGCTGTAAAATTAGCATTAGCAAGACAAAAGTGTTGGCCATTTTATGTAAAAAATGTTTAACATTTTATTTCCTCTAAAGAATGCTATTAAACACATTATATAATTTGGAATATAATAGAAATGCTCAGGACTTTGAGGAAAAAAAGACAAAATCAAAAAGATGATTGTGAAATGTTATCATAAACTATTTCCATTTTAATTGTGAAAGAACAGTATTCTAACAGAATTATAATTTGTAAAAAAAATTAATTAAAAAAAAAACAGTATTCAAATCGATATATATTTTTACACATTATGATTGTATTGTTCATAGCTACTAAAATATATCACTCATAAACAGAATATTTGATTTGTGATCTTTTTTTTTTTTTTTTTTAATCTAGCAATTCATTTCCGTCACCTTCATTTTTACCAAAGAATACTGTTAAACACAATACATGACTTGACTTTTAGGAGAAAAGTAAAAAAAAGTGCTCGTAGTCAAAGAAACACCTTATGACATCAATACAAGATATATGTAATGGTCAGTACTGAAAATGACAAGGACAGCTTAACGTGTGCACCTTACACAGTCATTTCCCTCATTACGTCTCAAACTGGAGGCCCAACCCTGTCCCGTCTGTCACTGCGTTTACACCCAACCTGTCTGCTTTCACCACTTCTTATCATTTGCTCATTATTTCGGCTTGTCGTATGTGTTTGTGCATGCATGTGTGCGTGTGATTTCGTGTGCAACTGTCGGCACAGTGCGGGCACAAACAAGCAAGGCCAAAGCCTTCAGAGTGACTCATTAAGACTGGTTCCTTTTTCTTTGTGCCCTTTCCTCCTCATCCTCTCCTCTCCCTCACCTCCTGAAATCTATTATAGGCCTTTTCAAACCCCCAGGCCTAATGACAGAGGGCCGCTGGGAGAGGCGGGACTGGACCAGCTGCAGGGCCCCCCAAAGCCGTTACCTGTCAGGGCTTGGACATACTGGTGAGGGTAGAGACTAGGTCCCCTCCCCTCACAAACACACACACAAACTTACCATTCACCCGTTTAGAAAGGTAGAAGTCACCCCTGCTCACTTTCAGTGTTAACAAACCCAAAATAAGCCTAGCAGAAATGCAGTTGCACACACACTTCCATGCCCATAGATGAACAATGATCTCCTTTTTTAGCTGGCCAAGTTAAATTTGTCCTTAACAGTCGTTTAGCTGGTAACAATCCGGTCAAAACACTAGATCTGTGCTGAACCAGTGAGTGTGCCAATGTGTGCCTGTGCGCATGCCTGTATTTTTAATTGACATCATTTGACATTATTTGACATCTGTGATGCACTTGCTGTGTACATATCATGCTGTGTTAATTTGCAGTTTTCCTTATAATATGACCTTTATCTCTTTAACTTTAGCTGGTTTTATTAGATTCAATTCTTAATTCATATTTACAAGTATTGTAGAACGTTTATGTCGTTCATTATCAGGTTAACTCCTAACCAAAGAAGTAAAGTGTCATATTATTTGAAGGCAATTTGAATGGGAATGAACTGCATATATATTTATCCATTCTCCGGCCCCCATCAAAATATGACAGTCAGACGTTCCCGTCTGTTCCAAATGTTTGTGATTTTGATGACGGCCATGTTTTTATTTTACTCTTAATAGTTTTATCTAAATGTAATGGTGATCGGATAAAACTCTCTAAGCTAAAAGGTAACGAAACAAAATGTTTTTAAGTTCTGTTTGCATGTTTGTACTTGAGTGAATACATCATCTTTGCAGTACATGAAGACGTAGTTGCCATGACTATGGCATATTATGTCATGGTACTCATAACATTCCTCCTCCCCTCCACCTTCCCCCTTCCCTTGTTTCTTGTCTGACTCGCCTGAAAAAAGTTCCCATGATGCACGGTGCCACCACTTCCACTGTTTCGTCGGCTACGACCCCAGTCACCAATGTTCCTTTTGCTGAATCAGCCACCTCCAACCAGGTTTGCCCCTTCATTTTGGCCTCTCCTTTTTACAGCTGTAAGGCATCCGACTCTGGTCCATAGACAATAATGCTTTTGTTTTTATATATAGACTTGAAAATCTAAATGCAATCTCTGATGGTGTTATCCAAGTAAAGATAATGTTTATGCAACTGTTCTCTGATTCCAAATGGCAGAACCAAATGACGACCTTGAGTCCTTGAGTTCTCTATGGACCAGTGAGGAGCCTCTTTACCTCTTTAGCACAATGTCCCAGTTCCTCCATGTGTCTGTGTGTGTTCACGTCTGTTTCAGTGTCTTCACTGTGTTAGAGAGCAAATAGCTACATTTAAAGGGATAGTTCACCCAAAATAACATTTCTGTCATTAATTACTCACCCTCATGTTGTTCCAAACCTGTATGCTGTTATTTTTTCCATGGAACACAACATTAGACATTAATATTGAATCATTAGCCAGCTCTTTCCATACAACAACAGTTTATAGCGACCACATTAAGGAAAACAAAAAAAAAGGCACTACAATTTTGTTTCAAGTCTTCTGAAGTTAAATGTTAGCTTATATGATAAAGTAGCCCATTCTTTTCAGTGAACTGTTTGATTAGATTCCCAGATTACTTAAATGATTCTTGAATTAATCTTTTTTCTGTTGATTCAGTTCTTTTCAGTAAACTATTTGATCTGATTCTCAAATGACTTAAATAATTGTGAATTTATTTTATTTTTGATTGCTTCTATTGTCCTCATTTGTAAGTTGCTTTGGATGAAAGCTTCTGCTAAATGACTTGATGTAAGTGTAAATGTTTTTTTTTTTTTTAGTTCATTCTTTTCAATTAATCAGTTGAATGATTGATTTATGAATTGGACTAATTTGATTCTCAAATTCAGATCAAGTGGTATGGATTTAATTGATAATTTTTGCGTTAGTTTGTTTTTTTTCCTGTAATTTTTGAAGATTAACAGATTAAGTCACTATGACCTGTTGTTGTATAAAATAAGCAGCGTAATGATGCTTCAAAAAATACCGTTTTTTGCACTCCACAGAAGAATGAAAATTCAGAACAGCATGAGGGCAAGTAAATGATGACAGAATGTTTATTTTTGAACAAACTATCCCTTTAAGTGATACATTTCAAAAGTTCATTGTCTTTTCTTCCCCCTTCACCATGTTTGAGGAATTTTGCACTGGAGCAAGTTGTTTCTGTGGCTCACATTAGAGTGAGATGGTATTTGTGTCCTCTGCGTTTTTCTGTGAATAGGATGTGGCTGTCTGTTTTTAGATGACAGTTCTCTGAATTTTTGTTTGTCATTCCTTCTTCATTGTCTTAAATTTACCTTTAAGGGAAATTGAAAGTTCACCATTTATTCTGTTTAGTTAATGTGTTCTGCAGAATCATAGGCAAGCCACAAGCCTGACCTGGCCAAACTTTCCAAAAAAGGGGCATGTTTTGCTTGCCTCTTTATTTCTTAAAGAGCTACATTGTGGATTGTTTACAGGGTTCCTACGCAGTTTGGAAAAGTATAGAATTTGATTTTAGTCATTTTCAGGTCTAGATATATATAGAAAAAAAGAAAACATAGTATGGGAAAAAGTTTGATTTCCATACTATTGTCCCTGTTCTGTTTTTCATAAAAAGTGTGAAAGTGTGTCAAACATAATCCTATATTTTTAGCTCAGCAGAATTATGAATATTTCTATTCAGGTGTAACTGCTGCCCCTGTGCTTGGTGTATTTGTGAAGAGTGTCAAAGGTTTCTATTTACAGTTGTTTTTGAAGCATTTAGCCAATCACAGATATGTCTGTTGAGCATATTCATTTTTTTAGAAGTGATAATCATATGTGACCCTGGAGCACAAAACCAGTCATAGCACGGGTATATTTGTAGCAACAGCCAACAGTACATTGTATGGGTCAAAATTATCAAATTTTTTTTTTATGCCAAAAATCATTAGGATATTATGTAAAGGTCATGTTCCATGAAGATATTTTGTAAATTTCCTACTGTAAATATATCAAAACTTAATTTTTGATTAGTAATGTGCATTGCTTAAGAACTTCATTTGGACAACTTTAAAGGTGATTTTCTCAATATTTAGATTTTTTTGCACCCTCGGATTCCAGATTTTCAAATAGTTGTATCTCGGCCAAATATTGTCCTATCCTAACAAACCATACATGAATCAAAAGTGTATTTATTCAGCTTTCAGATGATGTATAAATAAACTAAACATCTATAAATCATATAAATAAATATAAATGTATAAACAAATATATAAATCGAAAAATTGACCCTTATGACTGGTTTTGTGGTCCAGGGTCACATATTTAAATCTGGGATTGAATCTGAAATTGTGATGATTGTCACCGTGATAACCATAGCAGCGGATGGGAGAAAAAAAATCTGAAAAACTGATCTTGAAGTGTAAATGAAAACTAATAGACTTGCCACTTGTTCTATATAATGAGTTTCTTTGTTCTTCATTTTATTAGTAGCTTTTTACTTGACCTTTTTAAAGCAATGTTTTCTTAATTAAAAAATAAGGCTACATGCTGTTTTAATGTATTTACTTATTGTTAGCATTAATAATTAACTCATTTAATTTATTTAATTTTTTTTTATTATCGAATAGCTAAATAAAATAGTTAAAGGGGTCATATGATGCTGCTAAAAAGAACATTATTTTGTGTATTTGGTGTAATGAAATGTGTTTATGCGGTTTAAAGTTAAAAAAACACATTATTTTCCACATACTGTACATTATTGCGGCGTTATGCATATCTTCCCACATAGTGAGGTAGATATGTGGGGGCGTGTTCGAACGAGCCGTTTTAGGTAGGTGTGGCTAACTCTTAACTTTTATAAAGAATATCTCTTTGGATTTGAGACTTTAGTCTTTGCAACTTTACAGAACTTCTTTATGCACCAAGAGCTTGTAACACTCTAAAGAGAAAGGAAAAAATTAAATCGCATCATATGACCCCTTTAAGTAGTTCCAATAGTTTTTGCTATGGTACCAAGAACTAAGAAATTTTACTGGTATTGGTATTGACGAGACATTTTGGTAACACTAGTTTTTGTGAGAGCATCAAATTGTGAATTCAATATTGGGAATTGAACTTTTAATTGTTACACCCTTAATCATTTATTTTTTACTATAAGTATAGTCTGAAAAATCCACAGAGAAGTCTGGAAAAGTGTGTAATTTTGAAATGGAAAATGCGTAGGAACCCTGTGTTTAGCATTATGTAAGCTGGCAAAATGTCCGGTGTGGTTTTCAGCTCTAGTTTAGCATTTAATGGTAATTCTGTAGTTCAGGTATAGACCAATAACGCTGCACAGACCTGACGTGTCAGCACTCATTTCCTGCTTCGCTTGCTTTATTTGCCGAAATGCATCTCGCAAAATTACAATTGTGGAATTGCAGGTCTGCGCCCGCTGTCTCAAGATAACTGATGCATTATTTGATCATATGGCACAATATTTATTCATACTCTTGTAATTCTTTTTCTCATTTTCGAAATGAACTGCTGGTTTGGTGTTGGAGTAGATAAGATAAGAATTGACTGTATTCTCTTTGCATATTGCTTGTTTGACCGTAAGAGGTTCACCTCCTTATCTCTGGGCTGTTTGTACCTGTCTTCCAGTAGACGCCGCCGAGGTACTGAGCGCCGACCCCATCGACCTCCAGTGCGTTCCCATGGAGGCCCATTTCTGTCCAGTTCCTAAACTCCTGGTGGCTGCACCAATGACGCTGAATCCAGTAAGCCTCTCCCGCAATCCCACAACCTAATCAGGCCCATCTCTCATGCAACATGTGCCCAAACAACAGAAAAATGAATGCAACAAAACGTGTGCCTAATCAGTACGTCCTTAACGGGCAATACATTCATCCTCATGTCAGAGATCCCCACTTCATTTGACGTCAACAGAGGTTTGTTGATATTGAAACAGGCAATACTTAAGCTTGGACCTACAACTGTTTAAGGAAGCATGCCATCTCGATGCAAGGAGACGTAAGGAGCGTGCGGATGCTGAATCAGGAGATGGAGCGCTCTCGTAACTCACAGCCATACGAATACATGCAAACCAATTAGCTGAGAAGAGTGAATTCTCTAGAGGTGAACATTAGATGTGCGGTATGAGGTGGAGTCGATGCAGATCATCAGCAGACAGAATGTTTCTCCGTCGTAGAATGTGAAAACCCAGTGTGTGAGAGCGACACCTAATGAAATTTTACATAGTTGTGGTGGTGGTGGTAATTTCTTTCACATTTAATTATGATTAATGAACGTGGCACGTTTTATTTCATGTTTACATTTCCAAATGTCGGGGGGAAAAAAAGGTTATTTGAAAATGATTGATGCTTTTGTAAGATAATCTGATACTGATTCTCATGATACTGATTTAGGTTGTTCGTTAAGAGGTTTTCAAAATGTCGTTGTTCGTGCCTTTGAGTTACAAGTGTGTGGACGTCTTTTTTTCCCCCCAGTTCTTCTGTACTCAACTGACTTACATTTTATCATAGACTAAGAAAGTATACCTGTGTAGCCTTTCAGAATCAATGTGTCGTTCCTCCGTCTACTTAGGGATGTGTGTTGTTGTGAGTTTTTCTTGACAGAGTATTATTTATTTAATGACTTTCCAACAGGCTAAAACTGGTCTACTGAGATAAGTGTTACTATTCATGCCTGAAGTGTCTCACCTCGCATTTCAAGCTCCACATCGAGGTGGTCAAACAGAAGATTGGTTCACATACTCATACCTCCACTTTAAAAATAGAACTGCCTTAAGCAGACTAAATATGAGCACTTCTTGTTGGGCAGTGTGATGCACACTGAAATGTAAGGTCTGATTGCAGGCCTTCTGGATGTATAAGATGGCTCATTGAGAAAATTGTAACTTTATTTTTATTCCAGCTGGTCTTTGTTGTTCAATGTTTCTTGCAAATATTTCTTATTGTCCGATGTCCTGGATATTCAAATGCTCTAAAAAATAGTCACTTTTTAGATTATATATTGCATTTCTTCAATTATTGGGTGAATTTCATGAAAACAAGTCATATTCCAAGTCATATTTCATACCAAAAGCAGAAGAAAAAAATATATATATATTTGCTAAAACACATTTTTATGCCAATTAAGCAGTCCTATTGTCATTACCATAATACAACAAATCTCAGTTTTATCACTGTAATGTGCAATAAATAACTACATAATTACACAGAAATAATTTTAAAGTATTACGGTTACATTTGTTCTAATTCTGTTGTTAACAAAATATAATACTAAAAGCAATTATATAAAAAAAAATAAAAATGTTCCTGTTATATAGTAAAAATGTCGTACTAGTGAAATCATAGAGGATTAAAAAAAATGCAATTGCTCCAGTGCAAAAACATACAATGCCTCACGGAAATGTAGTTTAATTGTCACGAAAATGAAAAAAAGAGGCATATGCAAAATCAAATTTTCTGTTTTGATTTTGGTGTGAAATGTGACATTTTCATAGGATTCACCCTATTACCATGTCTATCTCTTGTAGACAAACCCCTTCTGATGGCTGGACTGTCTCTGCCTAAATCCATGCTCTGCCCCACCTGCTGTGTGACAGTCTGTTCGTCTCCACTTTTTGTTCAGCCATGTTTGGTGCATCCCTGAGTACTATAAGATCAGTTTTCAGTGTCCATTAGTTGCCAAAATTATTCTTTAAACTGCATGTTCAGTGGTTTACACACTCATTTATAACAGATTGGCACACATATGTTAAATCCCCGATCATTAAAATTACAAGGAGATATGCAAAATCCTTTCTAGAAGTCACAGACTGGTACCTGATTTGAATGTCCAGCGTCTCTCCCATTAGTTTGCTGTATTCAGCAGCATATGCGACCCCCTGCACACACATGTCAAGTGCACTGCTTTTGTGCCAATGACTCAGACAGGTCGCCCTGTGCCAATCACTGGAGAACTCGGACTGCACAATCAGGCCTTGACATGCCAAAGTCATGAGCCAGATGGATTGAAATTGCAATATTGCAAATGTGCCCACCCAAGCGACAAATCTAAACCTATTGGAGCAAGCTATTATCTTGCGCTTTCTTTAGATACATCTCAGTTATCATTAGGCGAGTCCTACAGTTGGGAAACTGACAGTAGGGCAGTTTTCAGCAGCTGTTTTTATTACTGCATCAGTGTGCACCCACTAATAGAGTTCCGGTCTCTGCCAACCAAGAGCTCTATTCGATTATTGCCGTAATACATTATTGATAGTTTATCCATGGAGGAAACATGAAAACTGTATCAGACGGACGATACACAGAGGTCTGCAATCCATTAGGGGAGTTTCTTTGCCCATTTTGTCTTTGAGATAGACGGCCGATTGAACTCTTTAAGTTGAGTTTGTGTTTGTTGTGTTCATGTGCGAACAAGTTTAAATCACTGACTGTGTCCTTACTTTCAAAAGTCGGCAGACTCTAAAATGCAAGGGCGTAGATGACCGTGTGACATCTGAATATTTGGACTGTGAGCTGAAAGCTGCGGCTCTCGTGTAGACATGTTACAATTAAAAGAAATTTTGATTCTTTTCAGACTGGGTACTTAGAAAGGGCCCTCATCAGCCAAAGCTTCATTTACGAGCCCCTCCGCGGGCCTTTACATGCATATATGAATGTGACATTTAAGACAGAGAGAATGTCACGAGAGGTTTTGGATGCCTGTCTCACCATTTCTCTCGAACAAAACTACAACCTTTCTCAACATATCAAGGAAGTGAAAGCCTCCCAATGCCCATCCACTGTTGATGTACAAAAAGAGACAGAAAAAGCGTTTTTCGTCACTTATCTCAAAGACCATTCTCTAAACTGTTGTCTCCTTTGGGACAGCCATGTTGTTTCAGCGGCGTAACCCCAAGAGAGAGCCGTAAAGCTGATTTTATGACCTAAAAACATCATTGCAACTTTTTTTGCTGATCAGCACACACACTATCTAGGCCAAACACAAGTGAAACGATATCATACAGCGGTGGTCTAAACCAAGACAAAATCAGAGCGAGATGATACTATACTGTGTTATAACTGAAATAGTATCTGTATTGTAAACATCTCTGTATAATGTTCATGTGTTTTAAGGTTGTTTTAAGAAATACTGGGGCAAGTACGTGTGGATTCCTTTAGGAACGATCTCTACTGTTTATTGATGTGTTGGATTGTGTTTTGTAATTCAGTTCCATTGCCCAGCCAAGGTGTAGAAGCTCCTTTCTCTCTGTCTCTGTCTCTCTCTCTCTCTCTCATATAAAGAATTATGCCTTCTCCAACTGCAATCCAGCTGGAATCAACAAAATACTTGATAAAGAAAAAACAATGTGCCTCATCGGGGGCTTTAGCATTTTAAGAACTCACTTTTTAAGAAGTGTGAATACCTGCATAAAGTAGTTAGCTAGAATAATCTATGTGTACGTATTACAAACGCATCGTCACCGTCATTCTAGTTTTTCACATTATTGATCTTCGTAACGGTACCTGTTTTAACTATATCCTCACGACTTCAGTCATGTTACGGTGTGTTGTTTTGACAGCTGTCAATGGTAGTTTGAGTTTGATCATTAGCGTTACTCGGTTTACCTTACCTTACATCGTAAAGTCTGTCATCGCATGAAATTAAAATAATCTGAATAATCTACATCATAGTTTGTGCAGTTAGTGGTTTAAGATTTAAAAGAATTACTTAATCTATATATCTATATATCAATATACACATTTGTATGTATTACAATGATAGATTCATTGTTACCTATGATAGTAAGTTCTTGTTGCTATGGCAACAAAACTACAACATGGCTACCTTTGTATATCTTAATTGTGAATTTTTTTCACACTTCAAGTGAAATAATGTACAACGTTAACTTATTCAGAAAGGGAATGTGTTCTTAAGTTGTCTTGGAAAAAGAGATGATTGACTATTTTGTAAAATTATATATATATAAGCGTATATATATATTCAGACTTGTGAGATACTTTGTCCAAAGGCCCTTTGGAGACATCATACGTTATTTCTGTTTTAATGATTATTATTTTTCTATTGGGGTTGCTGATCACTTTTAGATAAGAACCAGATCTTTACGTAAACAGCATCTGAGCTTTTGAACTAATCAGATGGATCAATTTGGGGGAAAGAGACTTTCTAGTCTTATATTTGGTCCGAAAAGCTTTGGCGGTTTTCATAAACAACACAGCCCTGTGATGTCAGTAACGGGACGGTATCAGCCATACGTGAGCCCCTGATTTAAATCTCTGTCCCCCTCTGGCCCACCCAGACTGCACCCCAGCTGTGCTGGGACCTGGTGACTCGCGTCACCCCATCGGTGTACGAATGTGTGTTATTCACCTTGTTTGCACTTATGTACATAACTGATTCAAAATATTCAGAATTTATTTTGAATATACATAGATGAATAAATATATATATATATATATATGTAGAAGAGCAGATTCAAATCAAATGTCTGTATCGTTCGGAATACAGGTAAACAGTTATCCTTTTAAAGGGTTGTCAAAGAGATAGATGCTGTTTCGCTGGGGTGTCGAGGAATTTGTTGTTTGTTCTGTTTGCTAATGCCCTCGTTCTCATCGTTAAGCATGATACTGCATTTTGCAGAGAAAATGATGTCAAAAAAGGCTTTATAGTTTTGCGTAGCTTACAAAAGCGCAGCGACCTGAGCACTGTGCCCGCTCGCGTCTGATCCTGAGGTCCAGAAACCAAAGAACGGCCAACTTGTTTCTCTTTTACCTCTACGTCGTGCGGTTTTGTTTTCTGTGTAGTCCCTGTGGTGTAGTCCCGTGGGACGCCATGAAAAGGGGGGAGTAATAATGCTCTGCCCCCTGCAGGAAGACCAGGAGGGCAGCGTAAAGAGCACCTCAGGGTCAGACCGCAGCTGGAAAGCATTGCTGCAGGTTACACAAAATAACATATTTCAGTTTTCCATTCTTGTGCACTCACCAAGACCAACAAATAACCTGAAAATCTCACAGGATATCCTCAATCAAAATTGCTACAAAATCCAACGTGAAATCGCCAGACAGAACCCTCTGTTGAAGAAAACTTGTACATTCTGTGCTCTACAGTTGCTTTGGAAGCCAATAATTTTGTTGCCATGGCACTTGCCCTATTAGTGAGGGAGAGACTGAGTCTTTTGTAGGTTCTTGCATATAGACGCACCTTTGGACCAATCGATTATGGTCCTCAGCCTTTTGACTGTAAAGCTGAGGTAGAACTTAGGACTTGGCATAGACTAAGGGGTCCCGACTTGCATCCAGAAGCTGAATGCGAACATAGGGGTGCTCCTTTTACCACTGTGCTTGACAGAGAAAATCGACAAACACTCTTCTGCTGTCCATTATCCTGTGCCTAAACATTCGGTGTGATGTGAAAGGACTGGTCTGTCGAGAAAGCCATTGAGGTTAGACTTCCACCTAACTGTGCTCTGCATTCAGTCACGTCATCGTCATTTCTGTGACTGGAACCCTAACGTCAATGGTTCGTGTTTTAACGTGTAGAAGTCACTGAGACCGGAGCATCACATTAATGTTGTACAAAGCTGTATAGTTTCGAATGAAATCACTCATCGATGCAGAGGTTATGTCCCTTTAAAGGCATCGACTGACGTTCGGTGACTGCCGCCGATGCCTGTGTAAATGCTATTGTGTGTGTGGAACCGTTCAAAGAATGTCTACATTGTTTCAAAGCCATATGTAATAGATTCCTCTCTCTCCCACTGTAGGACAAGATAAAACTGAATGCTTTGACTCTTTATATGAAATGCTTCTTTCTATTTAGCTTATTGTGCTTGTATGTGCTTCAAGAACTGTGCTTCTTGTCAAACCCTTTGCGATATATAAATGTATGGAATATATACATACTTAAGACTTCTGTTCTTTTTGTTTGACATTTTAATAAAGCGCTTAAAGACATTTTTGGACTGTGTTTGGTGTGTGTTTTTCCTGGTTGTATTCACAGAGTGCTCTACAGAGACGTCAACAAAACAAATAATTGGATTTAAGAGTTACATTGTCTTAAGTTTATTTTATTAACTGTACAAAACTATTCAAATCACTGGACATGCCAAGATAATGTCATTAGTTGTAACATAGAGACCGCTCTTTGACCACTTCATGATTACACAAGCTTTAAATTGCCAGTGATATTAATATATAGTTGTATGTTCATTGATTGCTCATTTCTCTTTTTTTTTTTTTTTCTTTGATCTCATTTTACAATATGATTGTGTCTTGGACATGCTTAGCTTCGGTTTCCTTCCAGCTATAGAGGCCTCAGATTATAAAATACGTAGGCCTAAATTGTTACACTTTATCTGTCTGTAAATATAGTCTCAGTGTAGAATATATTGAAGGGTTTTATATTTAAAAAAATGTAATTAAAAACAAAAATAACACTAAAAATATCAATATTATTATGAATTATATTAATAATTTAATAAGTCATATGCAGTAATTAGATTACCGCTTTAGCAAACATACTGTATATACTAATTTAAAGTTTTTGTCACTAATTTCCCTTAAAATGACAGTGGATTGATTCACAAAAATGAAACCAATTTAAATTCTTTTAAAATTGCTATCCTCTAACTCACATTTTTGTTCGAGTGATGTGATTTCCGGCGGATGTTTATTGGTCAGTTTGAGGCGTGTGAGAAAGAGGAGCTCCTCGGAGGGGCCGCCTCATTTCCGCGAATCGGTTCTTTCGAACAGTTCATTTCAAAGAACCGGTTCAAAAACCTATCCGTTGGTGTCAGAGCGTAATTGCGTCATAACGTCGCCTCTGACTAGCGTCCTTAAAACAACAAACAAAAAATTTTCTAATAGGAGTAGGCTATTTCTTTAATGTGTGCCATTGCAGTTTGTTGCATTCATTATTCATTGTATGTAACAAAGTCATGTAAAAGATAAATGTACATTATAGTTTACATTAATCAGTACTAAAATTATCTGTTGGGAAAACGTTTTAAATTAGTTATTTATCATAACCAACTATGTGCTGATAAAACCGCCATACAAGTCATAAACATATTTCCTTAACGTTTTTTGTAACATTTCTGCTAATTGGCTATTAACTCAATGCCAATCAAATCCTTGTTTCCAAATGCTCTTACAAATTGAACATGTGAACATAAATTTACCCGAGAACCACTTGGGCCCAATTCAGTCCGATTCGCGTAATCCGTGAATCAATTCAACCGATTCACTGAAGAGATTCGACTCGGCCGAACAGTTCGTTCACGCTAGCGTGAGAGAGGAGCTCCGCTGCTGCTGCTGTCTGGGGCCGATATGCAGAGGCGGGCCGGGGAAAAGAGGCACAAGAAGGGAAGGAAATGCAGGATTCCGAGGCGTCGTGTATGAGTTAAGAGTCTCAGAGCAAGAAACCTGAACCCGGTGATTATATTCGTCGCTCAGAAGCGGTATTAAAGCAAGAAAGGGCCGTTTTTATGCGAGTGCAGCCTCGCTCTCTTTGAAAACTACTAACGTTAGCCAGCTAACGCTAGTCATGTAGCGCTCCATTCACACGAACGCCAAACATGGACACGACTGCACACAATACTTGTGTTTTACATCGCCTCTGTGGCTAACAAACTCTCTGATGAACAGATCCCAATGGCGATAGAGCGCAGATGGAGGGGCGTTGTGGATTTAGCTAGACGTATACCCAGGGAAAACACTCTCGTCCGCTGTTGAATCTGTGGCTTTGGTTTCCTCGAACCCGATAAAAGTGCTCCCCCGTTGTTGTTTTGGTCATAAAACGCCTCGATAAGAAGTGCTGTGGTATTTTTATGTTTTTATGGCCGTTGCTGAGCAGATAAAGTTAGCTGTAGCTTAAGCCTGGATCAGACCAAATGAAGGAGTATAAGGTGGTTGTGCTGGGCAGCGGCGGCGTGGGCAAGTCCGCACTCACGGTCCAGTTTGTGACCGGGACATTCATAGAGAAATATGACCCGACCATCGAGGACTTCTATAGGAAGGAGATCGAGGTGGATTCGTCCCCCTCGGTGCTGGAGATCCTGGACACCGCTGGGACCGAGCAGTTTGCGTCCATGCGAGATCTCTACATCAAAAATGGGCAAGGCTTCATTCTAGTCTACAGCCTTGTCAATCAGCAGTCATTTCAGGTGAGTATTGCATCTCATGTCTGGCTCAGCTAGTACAACAAATAGACGTTTGAGGTTTAGATTAGGACATCCTTACCACTATTACCACAATTGAAGTCAGAAAATCACTCTAGCAAGGAAACTCCTGTGATTTTGGAGAGCACCAAACCGTAGCCCTCTCTGACAAACTAAATGACAGGAAATCTAAAATATGTCTCTTTTAAAAGTAGTTTATGGCATACATGCAACAGGTTGCAACTTCTTAGTCAAATACACTATTGCCAACCCTGGTGATCTCCCACACCCACTTTTTATCATTCTATGTTTGTTTGTTTTTTTACCTATCTTTATTATCCAATTCTTTCTCATAACATGACATTACATGTGTACATAACATTTTGTATTACTTATACAAGAAAAGCATTTTATTACAAAAAGAACAAAACTCAGAAAAAGTAAATCATGATATAAAGAACAACCGCACTGGAAGGGATCCTATTACACAAAAGTAATACAAAAATAAGATTATTATTATTAACAAGCCTTCTATTTGAAGCCAGATATAGCGCAGAAAAAACTATAGTCTAAATGCATGGTATTGATCTTATTGTAGACATTTAATCTGCATGTTTCATTTTTAAAAATGGTTTAACCAATCCCATCATTTAGTCCCCTTAAACCCCGCCCCTACAAGCTCTTTTGTCTTCACTTGTGTCTCTCAAAATCAAAGCACAGAACCAAGGCCCCGCCCAACGTTTTGTCTTTTTCGTTAATCCGTTTGGCAGCTTTTAGCAACTTTTGATAAGTGACTCAAACGATAAAAAGGCACAATTTACCATTTAAAATTACACAAAAAGAGGAAACCAAAGATGCCTAGCAGTACACACGTTACAGGAATTAAGTTAGCTGCTATTTGCAATTGTTTAATTTAATAGTAATAATAATAATAATTGAATACTGTTATTTTTAATTTATGAGACACTTTGTTAGTAGCTTGTACCTGCGATTGTTGATGAGTTAGTACACTGTAAGAAAAATATGCAGAAAAATGGAAAAGGTGCTAGTAATTTTCCAGGACATTATCCGTTCTCCGTTGTAACCCGAAAACACAAAATACAATGCGTAATTAAAAATGCAGGTACAAAAACCTGTGGAAAAATCAATCCAGAAAATTCCTTCATATTAACACAGTAGATTGTGCATTATTTTTTACTTTTCTTAGAGTGCAGCATACTAACTAACTACTAATAAACTGCTTTAAAGTATAAAACTTTAATTGTAATCGTTCAAAAATGTGTACGTTTTCGATAATTCAATGGATTTAAAAATAGTTATTTATATTTTAATATTATATTATGCATTTATATTGTTATGAACAAATCTAAATTAACATATATAAAATATATATGTTTTTGCTGAGATTTGACAATTTTGCATTGTGATTACGTAATGACGTCATCACGCAATGTCATCACAACATCATTTAGCAACTTTTAGCAACAAATCAACCTTCCTTTAGCAACTTCCCCTGAAAATTAGTTGGCAACACTGGTTTCACTTGGATGTACGTCACAATACAGAAGAAAAGATCTGTCACCACTTCCATTTCATTGCAACTTTAAGTTCATTTCTCCATAAACTGACTTATTTGGAGACCTGAGTTTTAACTTTCTTATCATACATTACCTTCTCTCTCTGCTCTGCAGGACATCAGACCCATGCGGGACCAGATCGTTCGTGTGAAGCGCTTTGAGAAGGTGCCTCTGATCTTGGTGGGGAATAAGGTGGACCTGGAGTCCGAGCGGGAGGTGGCGGGCTCTGACGGACGAGCGCTCGCACAAGAGTGGGGCTGCCCCTTCATAGAGACCTCGGCCAAGAGCAAGAGCATGGTCGATGAGCTGTTCGCTGAGATTGTGAGGCAGATGAACTACACCACTTTACCCGAGAAGCAAGAGCAGTGCTGCACCGCATGCGTTGTGCAATGAGCGTCCTGGCCTTACTTTCAGTCCAGGTATGAGAATGCAAAGCCGTGAGGAGGAAAAAACAAACCAACATTCAAACTTTCTAGTGCATTCACATGTCATGATGCTTGATTTTTCCAATATATAATATATATATATATATATATATATATATATATATATATA